GCTCTCACAAGGAAGAGGCAGTGCATGCCTTTAATCCCAGCTCTCACGAGGCAGAGGCAGTCGGTATCTGAGTTCGAGGCCAACCTCATCTACAGAGCGAGTTCCAGGACAGCCAGGGCTACACTGAGACACCCTGACTCAAAAAAGTCAAATAAAATAAAATAGTCAAATGTATGTTGTGCCAGCACTACCAAGGGGCTGTTCAAGGCTATCCTGAGATATGGTGAGGTCTAGGTGAACTTGGTTACAATGTAAAACTCTGTCTCAAACAAACCAAACCAAACCAAACCAAACCAAACAAAGGGTTCAAATCGCCGGGTTAGGATGTAACAGAGCAAAGGAAAATGTTGAAAATCAAAATGGAGCGTGCCAATGCCATGTGCGTTCAGTGCAGTCCAGCCTTCAAAAGATTTTTAACACTTGTTGTTCCTTGGTACAGTGTCCCGGAAAGGGGTTGAACTCTAGTTGTATTAAAGCTCACTGTTGTTCAGAAGTGTGAAGCATCGAACCAAACATAACTGAGGTTTTAGCTTTGAAAGGAGCCAGTTCACAGCGAGGTACAGGAAGAAGCCTGGAACTGCTCAGAACCTGTCAAATACAGCTGGAGTCTTTCTTACAGCCAGCCTCCCCGGCAAATAACTGTGAGCTGTCGGTGTCTGGAGAGTGAGGGGGCGAAGAGACGGCAAACAGTGTCTTGTCAGACATCTGTAGGGCTTAAGGTTATGTGACCTGGGGTGAGTGGCTGAGAGGTGTGGCTCTTCCTGCTCAGAGAGGAGAATGGCTGCTCTGATGGCCTCCAGAGCAGATGGCTCTGGTGCTTGGGTAGCATAGACTGAGTGGGGAGAGTGACCAAGCTCTGCGGGTGGGACCTCATGAATGGAATTAGTGTCTTCGTGAAAGAGGCTCCAGGGAGCACCCCCCCACCCTCAGAGGACACACAGAAGGCCCTCTGTGTGACACTGTGTGAGGCATGGGCTCTTCAGATGCCTTGATCTTGGAATTCCCAGCCTCAGAACCAGGAGTGTAAACTTGGTTGTTAATAAATAACCAAGCCTGACTTATTTGGTTAGAGTAGCTCTGGCAGCACTGAGATGGCCTATATCAGATGAAAGCAAAGACCGCATATTCCAGGGTTCTCTGAAGTTGCCTGAATACCTTTTTCCTTTGATAAGCATGGACATTAAAAACAGGTCCTGGAAGGAAGCCTGGAAGAAATCCCAGTCAGTAAAGTGCTTGTCACATGAACATGAGAACCTGATTTTAGATTCCTCAGAACCCATATTAAAAAAAAAAAAAATCTGTGCTGGAAGGCACCCATAAACTAGCAGTAGGGAGGCAGAGACAGAAGGACCCCTGGAACTTGTTGGCCATCAGTCTAGCTGACTGGTAAGCTCCAGGTGTACTGCGAGGCCTTGTTTCAGAAATCATGGAGGTAACAGTACTTGATGGCCAGCCTGGCCTTATTTTGACCCCTGGGATCCACACAGTGGCTTGCCTAAAAGCTGTCCTCTGACCCCTACATATACACATACACAAAAATAAAATACAGTAAAAGACACCTGACACTGATGCTTACACATGCACACGCGAGCGTGCACGCACACACACACACACACACACACACACACACAGCTTGATGCCATAGCTCAGTGGTGGAACACTGAGCTTTCCAGCAGATACAAGCAGTATTTAGTCCCTGACATGGCTAAGTAAATAATAAATAAATGAAGCAAGCAAGCAAGCACTGGCACTCCCCATGGGTGTCAAAATATTTGGTCAACTGTTGCATAATTGTGTCTGTTGATTCATGTAATCCTTATCAGAACTGAACAAATTCCCTAGAGATTTCAAAGATTTCTATATATTCACTACCTTGCTTGCATATAGAAGGTAGGGCCTGCCTTGAAACCCTGTGACTGGAATTGAGCAGGTTGTCCTGACACCAAGGGCCCCAGGCTGTTTTTAGCTGGCCCCATATCTTTCCTTCAACTTCTGCCTCCCTGGTCAGGATGTATTTTAAGATGACTTCAGTGCCTCCAATGCATTCAAATGCTTCCCGTTGCTCTGTCAACTCATTTGACCGTTCTGCTAGGTCTTCTAGAGAGGCTATGGTAAGGTGGCAGATGATAAAGAATCCAGGCCAGGTTGTGAAAAGCAGGTCTGTTTCCTCCCCTCCCGTGCGCTCCCCTCCCTTCTTCCCTCCCACACAGACAATCTCAGACTCCCCATTGCTTAACAGGTAAGTGATGAAGGATGGCCTAGGGTTTGGGAAGGTGTCTGGATAGTTGCTGAAGGTGAGACACTGGATTACTGGGAAACTACTGGGCAGATAGGTAGGTGGTCTCCAGGTGCCCTCAGATCTCACTGTCGGACTGGATCCAATATTAACTTCTCAGATTGATTTTGGGGTGGGCTCCACATACAGCAGCAGAAAGCCCCCAAAGCAAGAAGGTGTTTTTATAGTCAGAGTCATTCAGCCTCTTTATAGTTAAACTGAGTAGCCATGGGCATTGAACTTCTCCATATTGACTCTTTAGGTTTCTCTGCTATTGACCAGAGAACTCTGATTTCCTCATCTTGAATCTGAGCAGGTTATCTTTTGCTAAGGGTTGAGTTTTCCTGGAAGGGCAAAGCCTCTCCCTGATCCATCTCTCTTTAAGGTGTATTTTTACTTAGTTTTGCTGAAGTTGGTGAGCTCCCGAGATTCGACATCCTTCTCTAACTCCCTCTCTTTAAAATTTTCCGTTTACTTATTTTAGTGTGTGCGCCAGAGCACGCCTGTGTGCACATGTCCTGAATGGAGTGTTTGAGTCACAACTTGCAAGGGATGGTTTTCTCCTTCCATCAGATGGTGCAGAGTCCTTATTCCCTGACTTTGGGAGGGCTGAAGACAAGTTGGTTCATTTCTTTAAAAGAGCAAAGTGTGGCTGGCGCTCTCCTTGGCTGCTGAAGCCCACAGAGGAGGCAAGCGAGGCCTCGAGAGAATGAGCACTGTGTGCGGTGCTGGCTGCTACCAGCACCTGGGATCCTCATGCCCATGCCCACGCTAGGGTACAGGCAACCTGGGGTGGGGTCGGAGCTGGGACTGGACCCCTTGGTAGATAGAAGCGGTTTCAGTGGCTGGTCACAGTGAAGCCAGAGAGACCAAACTCATCCAGCTAGAAGCATGGACAAGGAGGGGAGCAGGAGCCCATCTGGAGTGGAGGAAGGAAGACCGCTGGGGCCAGGGGTACAGAATGGGTGGGGGCAAGGCTGGTAGGATGGGTCTGGGGCTGGAGGTGGGGTTCAGAGAAGAACGGAGGTGACCAGCTGGAAGTGGGGTGCACAGGACTAGAGGTGGGACACAGTGAGGTGGAGACCCTCTGGTGGTGTGGCGAAAAAGGGAAGGGACTAACTGCACGTAGGGTTCACAGAGCTAAGACTTAAGGTGACCCCAGGGGGCTAGCCCAGAGCGCAGACGACTGGAGGTAGAGCTGGAGGCCAGGGGGCCCTGCAGGGCGTCGCCTCACTTCTGCGGCCCGGAGCCCAGGAGGGGGCGGGTCCCCAGAGGGGCGGAGACCAAGGGGCCGGGCAGCGGGCGGGACTCGGGCGGCGGGAAGTGGGTGGGGACCCGCTGGGCTCCAGAGACCTAGGCTAAGCTGCGCGCGCGTGTGTCCGCGCCCCGGCGAGATGAGCGGAGCCGGGTCGGCGGGTATGGCCCGGGGGTTGCGCGTGGACGGGCTGCCACCGCTACCCAAAAGTCTGAGCGGGCTGCTGCACTCGGCGGCGGGCGGCGCGGCGGGCGGCTGGCGGCACCTGGAGCGGCTGTACGCGCAGAAGTCGCGCATCCAGAACGAGCTGAACCGAGGGGGCGCGGGCGGCGGCGGGACGCGGGCGGCGGGGATGCGGACCAAGCCCCCCAACCTGGACGCCGCGCTGGCGCTGTTGCGCAAGGAGATGGTAAGGAGTAGGCGTCGGGTAAGGACTAGGCGTCGTGGGTCCCTTCGAGGGATACTCTCCTTTGGTCCCTGGAAGCCCGGACTCCCCTCTCGGGCTTCCCACGGCTGGACATCACCTTCGGCAGGGCAGCTTCAGATGCTGGGGTTCTCCTGGGCCAGGTCAGGGCGCGGCGAGGTTCGCCTGCCGGGTCCCAGGAGAACAGGCTTCCTGTGCGCCTGCGGGTCGGTGTGGACAACAGATGGGCGGCCGGGCCCCTCCCCGGCCGCCCGCCAGGAATCCGATTACCGGCACGGAAGCTGCGCGCGGCTGGGTGAAGTCCTTACGTCTGGTCACAAACAATGGGTTTAGTTTTTCTCCCTCCTGCGAAGTGCAGTAGGTGTTCCTGGACCAGGACGCAGGATTCAGGGTGAAGCCAGGGCAGAGAGATTTGGGCCACAGAGGGAGCCCTCTCTCAGCTTGCTTCCTGTGGCAGGCCAGGTGGGGAAGGACCCACCCAATCCACCCATCCAAGTTCTTTCCCCTAGACTAAGATCTTCTACCCTAAGCCTAATACATCTAGCGAATTGCGTTTGATTAGATAAATCCACACCTAGTGTGTTTACAGCCGGATCTTGAACTTAACAGGAACCGCTGGGTGAAATAAAGAGACTCGCCCCCCAGGTGTTTGAGGGGTTTTTCTTGCATAAGACACGGTGGCACGGTGACTCCTGGTTGTGAAGCTCTCCCTTATAAACATGCTAGGGAGGGAGGCCTGGGAGCCCAGCTACATTCCCGAAGGTATTTCCCAGGTCCCTCCTGCTATGACTAAAGTACAGAACCTTATAATTATGCCTTGGGCGGTAGCTCAGAAGCTCGGCTATAGGAAATGAGCTGCTGTCACTCTGCCTGATAACAATGTTAAGGGTAGGGTTTGGCTACAGGCCCTGACAGGCCCTCTCAGAAAACCATCACGAGGCTCTTCAGTCTGTCTTGTAGCTGTTCAAGACACTTATTGACCTGGGGGAATGGAGAGGTTTCTGAGACAGCGCAGCACATCTCGCCTAAGAAGAACGGTCGTTCATTCCAGAGCCTTCTGCAGAATGTCTGTGTCGATCCATTTAATTTGAAGGCCGGAGGTCAAATCTGTGGTGGGGATATAATTCATGTCGAGAACAGAATGTGACAGTGCGGGAGGGAAAAAGCCCCGGGTAAACGCAGAGAGAGGGTGTATCCCCCGGATATGGTGGGGACTTCTCTCGTGGTGCAGAGTCAGAGGTGGGAAGGCCTGAAGTGACCGGAAGATCACTGAGTGGAGCCGCTAACTGAGTGGTACCCTGGGCCTCTGAGCCTCAGGCTTGACTGACAGGAATTTGAACAAGAAGTTAGCGAGGTAGCCCTGTGGTCTTGAGAACCCTGCAGATCACTGGTCTCAGTGGGAGCAGGAGCTCTGAGGTGTTCTGTGGGTATAGGAGGCTTGGAAAATACTCCAGGTGCACCTAGGAACCCCCCCCAAAACCCACAAGAATTGCTAATGGGTCCCCAAAGCTGATAAAGAAAGAAATGAATCAAAGATGACCCAAGATTTTTGTTTGTTTGGTTACCGATGGAAAGTGTTTTGGAACAAAACAAACATCACAGACCTAAAACTGGGCCTATCACCCAGTGGCAGAGGCCTGCCTAGCATGTATGAGGCTGTATTAATTACGTTTCTCATTGCTTTGACAAAAGCCACATAAGAGAAGATTTATTTTGGCTCACAGTGCCAGCTACAGTCCATCTTGGTGAGGAAATGTCAGCAGGCACATGAGGCAGCTGGTGACAGTCTATCTGCAGTCAGGACGAACAGAGATGAATACTGGGTGTCAGCTTGATTTTCTTCAATCCAAGGATCCGAGGCCATGACAAGATACTGCCCATGGGTAGGATGGACTTTCTCACATCAACTAATCCAATCTAGAAACTCTGCCAGAAATGCCCAGACATTTATCTCCTTGGTGGTTCAAGACCCTGTTGACAGTCACTATTAATCGCTCAAAGCCTTGTGTTCAGGTTCATTTCTGAGCACCCCACACCCCATATTACAGGCTGGCACAGAGACAGATGATCACTGCTAACAGTTTGAGGTATGCAAATATTCTGACTGTATATACATCCTGATGTGGTAGTGTGTACCTGTGATCAACTTTGAAGGGAATCTGGGTTACACAACAAGACCCCATCTCAAAAAACAAACAAACAAAACCCAAGAGCTTTTTATACATTGTCTAAATTCTTGTGTTTTAGTTGAATCTCTGCCGGTGGGATAAAGTATCTTCAAAAAGCAACTTATGGAAGAAAGAATGTATTTACCTTACAATTCCAGGTTACAGTATCGATGTACGGAAGTCCAGTCTATAAGAACTTGAGACAACTAATCAGATCCATAGTTCCAAGAAGAGAGAATGAAAGCATGTTTACTTGTTAGTATTCAGCCCCGCCCCTTCTCTACAGTTCAGCCCCGCCCCTTTTCTATAGTTGGGGATCCTCTGCCTAGGGGATGGTACCCACCCACAGTGGGCTGGGTCATTATGTGTTAATTCCCACGTCAATTGAGATTCAAGACAATTCTCCACAGATATTCCATCAGGCCAACCTAATCTAGACAATGTTTCAGACTCTTTTCTCAGAGGTCCTAGGTTGTACCACGTTGATAATTAGAATTAGCCATCACATGTTGTACCTTCCTCATGGGTACTTCATCTTAACTTTATTTATTTTTTCTTCTTCTCCTTTTTTTTTTTTTTTTTTTGAGACAGGGTCTCACTGTATAGCCCTTGGCTGGCCTGGAACTTACCGAAATCTACCTACCTCTGCCTTCTGAGTACTGGGGTTAAAGACAGTGCCACTTCTCCCACCTTACTTTTTTAATCATTTAGATTTATTTTTACTATTTTTAATTAAACACATGAGTGTGGTATGTATGGGAGTGCACATGTGACAAGTGCCCTTGGAGGCCAGAAGGATTGGAAGGAGAGGAATTTGAGGTGGCTGTCAGTCATCTGACCTGAGTGTTGTGAACCAAATTTGAGTTGTTAATCTCTGAGCCATCTCTCCAGATCCTAAATATATTTTCAAAAGTCAGCTGCTCATAGTTTAACTCTCTTGAGATCACAACCTTTTTTGGGTCTTTTTGGGCTCTGAAGCCCTGTCTGATCATTGTACCCTATGATCCGTACACACACGCACACACACACACACACATGAAGCACACACACATGGGTTGTTACAGTGTATGCTGCAGCTCAATTTTGGAGGGTACGTGCTGCAAACATGTTCCTGTCACTATGTATCATTGGGTCTTCGGTGACTGCCGAGCATGGATGGTGTGGCACAGTTGTGCCATTTTGAACCTTGAAAATGGGTGCATTGTGGGTGTTGGGGGAGTTGCTGTTGGGGGCTTACGGCATTCCATCAGGAGAGGAGGATGCTAGGCATTTCAGATGCAGAGTTGGAGGCTAGAAGAGAGCTGGTTGGAGCTGAGGGTGCAGGTGTCACTTCAAAGGGGTGACAGTAATGATGAGTCTGAAGAGCTGCTGCATGGAG